CACTTAATTTCCACAGTCACTTTAACTTATCCGCACGCTAGAATTCACAACGATTCACGCACTTTACTTACGGCCACTACCGCCCTCGACTCAATTATCCATCTCTGTCTGTCTGCAATTCTATCTCGATTAATTAATTTCGCTTTATCTGGCGCACTTATATACAAGAATAGAGGGACGCGTAGAAAAGACCAGTTTCCACGAGTATCATGACCTGCTACTAGCGTCGCGCGACTTCCGCTGTCGTAACAGTATCTTGTCAAACCTTTTTGCTATAGCCATCCAAATTGTTGGAACTAAACTATTCAATTTGAAATATATGATAAAATATACTAAATATAATTGTATTCTTATACCTAATCTATATAAATATGATACTACTGTCTGTTGAATGTACATGTAACTACTTCGTAGGCTGTGGATGGATCTTCGCCAAAATTGGTATGGAGATTCATTAGGTCCATGCAAGGGTTCATGCAAATTTACAGTTTGTATTTGACGTTATGCGGTTTTTACGGGCATATCTTCACCCCCTGTTGATAAATCTTCGCGAAATTTGGCATGACGGTTTGTTGGGTCCATGAAGAGTTACATGAAAACTAGCAGTTTCACATTTTGTGTTTTGCTATTTTTATGGTCATGTTTTCGTTGTTTTTTTTTGACAATTCAATATAAGGAAAACAACTTTTCATGTTCTATGATAATCTTATATTAATCATGAATTTACATAATTTCCGTCCAGGGGACGGATACCCCAGCTAGTTACCAATAAAGTACGTAATGCTTACTATCAGATATAGTTGTTAAAATTTTACATATACTTCGCTTTGTTCTCTCCATCATTAGACTTTTACAATTAGAGATATGTTTGCGTTATACTACTGTTATGCCTCAGTACATAAGCAGTGCCGACTCCAGGATTCTGAAAGTGGGGAGGCTAAAGGGTAGCATACAGATGGGCTTTTTTTTTAAAGGATAGGTGAAGGAAAACTTATGGAACATAAATTAAAAAGCTCTAAGAAATTATTTTTGCTCTGAAATGTTTTCGCTAATATTTTAGTAAAGGCAGACTGCGCATAAGACTGCAAAGTCTCGGTATCGAAAATATTAAAGTCAAATTTATTTAATACCATTTAGTGTTGACTCATTTTTGCACGAGCAATTTTAATCATTTGCATAAACGATCTCTCAAACTAACGTTCTCTCTGCACGATCGTCCGTGGTACATGATTAATTACAAAATACTTCAATCATCGAATAATCTCATCCCTCGAGGAGAAAAATCTAACTATAATAAAACTTGTTTGTTTGTTATTAAGCGCAAAGCTACATAGCGAACTATATGTGCTCTGCCCGTTGCGAGTATCAAAACCCGATTTTTAGCTTTGTAAACTGTGAAGCTTACCGATGAACCACCAGGGAGGCAACTGCAGTTAAACTAAATTATTAAAGTTGCAGAACCTTTAACTATTCAATAATGTTATTACAATGGAAGGTTGAGCAGTGCACGATACATTCAATAGATTAGTCTAAGAAAGGCATTTTGACTAGTTATGTATTCAAGGCATGTTTCTGTTACTAACGTGTGGTAAGTACTTAGCTTATTAGCTAATGGGCCGTTTTTATTTTTATATAACCAATGACAATAATGTAGCCCGTATAGCATTGGTATTGGAATACTTGCAAAAAATACTGTAATATATGAATATTTAGTTTCACGCTGGATTCGCGCTTTTCGTGGTCTATTGTTTCTTCAACAAATAGAAAAAAGGTATTTCTTTTAATCTATAACTTGTATTTTATATAACAGTGACTTGTCAAAAGGCATTTTAAAAAATGTTCATTGTACTTGTTTGGTTAAATGATTTTAATGAAGCTGAAAGCCCTCTGGTGGCTCAGTGGTAAGTTGGACTTATACTAAAATTAGGGGCTTGATACTTTAGATGGGCATAGCGCATATAGCTCATTGGATAGCTTTAGGATTAATGTAGGCTGAATGTTCCTTTCTATTCCAGATTAGCTCAGGTTTCAGCTAGCCGATGATATCGGAAGGATTTCGTTATCTGTAATACTGTATAAAATCACCGAATCTTTCACAAGGGATACCTGGGCATAGCCGTCCCTAATTTTGAGCTGATGGGCTGAAAGGAAGGCAGCTAGTCAACAGCATCCACCACCAAATCGTGGACTACTCTTGTTTGATATAATAATGAGATTTGAACAGCGTCGGCCCCTAAGTCTGGAAACGGAATGCAAATCATAAACCTTTGGTTTCACAGTCCCGGCACGCTAACCATTTGGTCACACCTGGCACATAACAAAAAAAAATTACTGACGTTATCTAAATTATACAACTTTTTTTTTCTATTCTGAGGAACAGAGGGCGCACCATTGAAAGCATGAACCTCTATATTTTGCATATTCAGGATTCCGAATCTGCCACAAGACCCATCTTATGCAAAGTGAGTGTTCTACTAAATAAGCTAAAAGGATAACCCAATAGCAGCTGCTGAAAAGGAACTTCAAGTCAAACTACTGCATCTTTGGTGTGTGTGTGTGTAAATATCTGTTAGATAGGTTTCCATGGCATTACGGACAAACAGTAAAACATACTTGAGAAAGAAATCAGGCCAGCCATAGCCTAGTGGTTAGCCGCCTTAATTGTGGTTCCGAGGATTGGTAGTTCGAATCCTGATGCCACAAAAACACGCTCCGTACTCTGGAGTCGTTGATGTTATAAAAGTGACGATAAAATCCTACTCTTCGGCTAGTTAAGAGTAGCTTAAAAGCTGGTTGTGTGTGTGCTGTTGACAAGCTGCTTTCCCTTTAGTCTGTTAGCTAAAAATTAGAGACGGTCTTGTGCAGATAGCCCTTTGTGTCGATTTGCTTACAAGTACTGAAACAAACGATCAGTAAGAATTTCATATTGGTTTTATTTCATGATGAAGGGTTTGACTGTGCACTTGAGATTCTGTGAACTGTTCGTCAGGTGGCCTTTGAAATCCAGGAAAGAAAGCTGGTTAGTGAAATCCAGCAGCAGCTAATGATTTGGACATAGAATTTCACTCGTGG